GGGTTTCAGTACAATTTTGAAGGGAGGTATGATCTGGTGAGGTTCCTCAAGACCATACAGAATGCAGGGCTCTATGCTCACCTTCGCATTGGCCCTTACGTTTGTGCAGAGTGGAACAATGGGTACTCTTTTTTCTCTAGATCTATAATTTTGGCCTTTTATTTTTCTAATTTTTTAGGATATTCCACTATCACTCTTTTTTTCTCTCCTAATTTTAGAAAAAATGAATATTTAATTTTTCTGATTGTGTGGTTTGTAGGGGTTTTCCTGTGTGGCTGAAGTATGTTCCAGGCATCAGCTTCAGAACAGACAATGAGCCTTTCAAGGTTAATTTTCTTTACTTTTTACCTTTTTATCTAATATTGTTGCATAATTTGTCTGAGGAGAATTTATGGAGCTTTTGGGGGTATTTACTATTTACTGTTCAGTAAAATTTGATAGTGTAACTTCTGGAAATGCAGAGGGCAATGCAAGGGTTCACAGAAAAGATTGTGCGACTGATGAAGAGTGAAAATTTGTTTGAGTCCCAGGGTGGTCCCATCATTCTCTCTCAGGTATATGAGCCTTTTCGATTTTCCGTTTTTGCTCTATGATTTCGTTCTTAGGGGTAAATTATGTTATTTCGAGTTGAGTTATAGTGATATATGTTAAATTTGTTAATGTGGTTCAGATTGAGAACGAGTATGGAGCACAAAGTAAGTTACTTGGAGCTGCTGGCCATAATTACATAACTTGGGCGGCAGAAATGGCGGTTGGGTTGGACACCGGAGTGCCATGGGTGATGTGCAAGGAGGAAGATGCTCCAGATCCAGTGGTGAGTAATTAACACTCTTTGTGCTGCACATATTAGCTTGTATTGTTATACATTTTCCTTTTATTTGGCATTCCTGCAATGGAGTACCAATTCTCGAGAGAAGAGTTGTATGACTTGCGTATGTATTAAGGAAGTCACTCAAATGTTTTTGTGGATGGTTGCGTGACAGATAAACACATGTAACGGTTTCTACTGTGATTCTTTCTCTCCCAACCAGCCCTATAAGCCTACGATTTGGACAGAGACATGGAGTGGATGGTAAGTTTATTATGCTTGTTTGCTTAGGAATCCCAAGTTTGTTAAATTGCTACAAATGAAAATATATCCATTTGACTCTTTCTTTCAATAAAATTGTGAAGGTTTACGGAGTTTGGAGGTCCAATTCACCAACGACCAGTTCAGGATTTAGCATATGCAGTTGCGAGATTCATACAGAAAGGAGGATCATTTGTTAACTATTACATGGTCAGCTTCCTTGCACTGCTTTTTTTGAGGGTACGAAAGATGTACAGTATTAAAACATATCACAGAAAACTGAATTCTTGTGTTTTCTTGTGAAACAGTACCACGGGGGTACTAATTTTGGACGCACAGCCGGGGGCCCTTTCATCACTACCAGCTACGACTATGATGCTCCATTAGATGAATATGGTGAGAATTAAAACATGCTTAAGCAAACTGATCTGGTGTCAGTGCGTGTTGTGATATACCATTTTACTGCACGAATGTTTGGAACTTTCGAGAATATAGCTAACTGCTTTACCGTAAAACTTGATAGGTTTAATCAGGCAGCCAAAGTATGGCCATCTAAAGGAGCTTCACAAGGCTATTAAGATGTGTGAACGGGCTTTAGTATCAGCGGATCCAATCATCACTTCACTGGGGAGTTTTCAACAGGTTTTCACCTTTATTCTCAAACTAGCGTTTGGTTTGCATAAGTTATTCTTGTTTACTAAACTCTAGGCATGTTTTGTCATTCCAGGCTCATGTGTACACTTCCGAATCAGGAGATTGCTCGGCATTTCTTTCAAACCATGATTCCAATTCAGCTGCGAGAGTCATGTTTAATAACATGCACTACAACCTACCTCCTTGGTCAATCAGTATCCTTCCTGATTGCAGAAATGTAGTCTTTAACACTGCAAAGGTATTGATTCTGAACATGTACTTGGATTGATGTCTATTCTGACAGAATCTGAGACCACAATTTCGGGAACACAAGTCTTTATTTCCTTTGAACATTGAAATATTTTTTAGTTTTTGAGATGAAACTGTTTGTCGTTCCTTCTCCTTAGGTTGGAGTTCAAACGTCACAAATGCAAATGTTGCCAACAAATATTCCAATGCTATCATGGGAGAGTTATGATGAAGATCTTACTTCTCTGGATGACAGCTCAACATTGACCGCTCCTGGTCTACTGGAACAGATAAATGTCACGAGGGATAGTACTGATTACCTCTGGTACATAACAAGGTGAGAATTTCCTGAGGCTAACTCTTTGTCTCATGATTTCCCCAGTTGGTCTGCGTTTCCATTGTCATTGAAGTATTTTCACCTATAAATATTCTTAGACAGCCTTTCAAAAGAATGTTCCAATTTGACTAGCTTGGTCTGTGGAAGTACCCACACTGAAGTGTTAAGTATGCCTTCTGTGACGTCCTTTCTGACCTATAAAACTATCATCTTCCTTTCAATGTGTCTGCAGTGTCGATATTGCTTCATCTGAGTCCTTCCTGCGTGGAGGGGAACTCCCGACCCTTATTGTTCAATCAACAGGCCATGCTGTGCACATCTTCATTAATGGGCAGCTTACAGGTACAATTTTGATTTGCTTCTTGCATGTATATTATCTTGCTGAACAATGAAAAAAACTTAACAAATACATAACAGGTTCTGCCTTCGGAACAAGGCAGAGTAGGAGATTCACATATACTGGCAAGGTCAATCTACGTGCCGGAACAAACAGAATTGCACTTCTGAGTATTGCCGTCGGATTACCTGTTAGTATTATTTCCCACAATTTTTTTCTTCTTATTCTACTTGTTCTTCCTCTGTAATGCTGACAAGTTATTGTTGCTTGTTGAAGAATGTGGGCGGACACTTTGAGGCTTGGAATACTGGAATCCTCGGCCCCGTTGCACTTCATGGACTTGACCAGGGAAAATGGGACTTATCTTGGCAGAAGTGGACCTACCAGGTAGTCGATCTTACTTTGGAAATCAAATCGTTTTATTTATTATGAAAAAGAAATTTTTCCTTACCCCTGCTATTCTATCAGGTCGGATTGAAGGGAGAAGCCATGAATCTTGCATCTCCAAATGATTTTTCCTCCGTCGAATGGATGAGCGGATCATTAATTGCACAGAAACAGCAGCCATTGACTTGGCACAAGGTATGCAACAAAGAAAAGTGGAACTCAATTATGTAATGTAAACACAGGAGAACAAAATTATTAATACTCTCACTCAACTTTGCAGACCATTTTCAATGAACCCGAAGGAAACGAGCCATTGGCTTTGGATTTGGAGGGAATGGGAAAAGGCCAAATATGGATTAATGGACAGAGTATTGGGAGATACTGGACTGCATTTGCTAATGGTAATTGCAATGGGTGCAGTTATGCTGGAGGGTTTAGGCCTACGAAGTGTCAATCGGGTTGCGGCCAACCCACACAACGATAGTAAGCAACTCTACGATGAAAACTTTGTATTTTTTTGACAAAACAATTGTAGTATGAAAGTATGACGTAAACATTTAGTGGCTTACTCAGCAAATAAATTCTCCTCCTAAATTCCATTTGAATTTCATTTTTTTCAGTTATCATGTGCCTCGATCTTGGTTAAAGCCAACGCAGAATCTGTTGGTACTTTTTGAGGAACTTGGAGGGGATCCCTCCAGAATTTCTCTAGTAAAGAGAGCTGTGAGCAGTGTTTGCTCTGAGGTTGCTGAATACCACCCAACAATCAAGAATTGGCACATCGAAAGCTATGGAAAAGTAGAAGACTTCCACAGCCCCAAGGTTCACTTGCGGTGTAACCCAGGCCAGGCTATCTCTTCCATCAAATTCGCTAGCTTCGGAACACCCTTGGGAACCTGTGGGAGCTACCAACAAGGAACTTGCCATGCGACCACATCATATTCTGTATTGCAGAAGGTACTAAACAATGCTATCTGGTTTTCTAAAATCTACTTGTATTCATAACCCTCTTACTGAACCGTGTTCTATCTTTTTTATCTCCAATTATCACAGAAGTGCATAGGGAAGCAGAGATGTGCAGTCACCATATCCAACAGCAACTTTGGAGATCCATGTCCGAATGTGTTGAAGCGGCTGTCAGTAGAAGCTGTTTGTGCTCCCACAACTTCAACGAACATGGAACCCAATTCGCGGGGTTAGTGAAAGAGTGAGATAACATATCATAATTGTTGCACCCTAATCCCTTAATTTTACACCACAGCAAGAGAAGAAGCGAGCAAACAAGAATAAGATATCGAGTACAGCGAGATGGCAAATGTAGTTAGGAGGAGTGCCATAGTTTTATCTTCTGATGAAGAGGAGTCGTAGTAGCAGCGCTTGGCGAAGGGTAATTCATATTCGGAGTTAAAGCGCAATTAGCTGTTAATTTAAGTAAGCTTAAAGGACTTGTGTAAGCAGTGATCTTGTTACTTAGGCGAGTTTGTAGATACCTCGGGGTTCGGCAATTCGGACCCTAGGGGGAGTCAGGCTCCGGTCCCCGGCCTTTTAACGGGATATATGGGCACTGGGAAATGATGTGTTTTTTCTGTTGAGTGTTTTTACCGTTCATGTAGTTTTGGGGAAAAAAAGGATACCCCAAATCCAATTAGGTAAATGTAGGTTCATGTTGGGAGAGGATCCTAGTGTGACACCATTTGTTTACTGTGCAGATTTCATGAATGAAAAGATTCAAAGTCTTGTGTTGTCCATTTCATGGTGTTACTTCCTCTTGTTTTTGCCTGTGTCTGTCTGATGATTCGAGATTTCCGCACTCCCATTTTCTCCTTGTGCAATTCTCTCTATTTTTTTTAGCTTTTGGATTGAATAAATCAAAAGACGGGAGAAAAAAAGTGCAATAAGAAAATGAAAGTGTGAAAATCTGGTAATTGCCAGCTTGCTAGTACCTTCAACAATAAAAGTAAAATATTGGGACTCTACTGCAAAGAATGGCTCTTGTCAAACTTTCTAAGTTTCTGAATGCCCCAATCCCATCCCAGCCTGCAGTTTGGAGAAAGACTAGCATACAATTTGGTGTACTCTTTTGTGTGTCTGTCTCTCTCATGCAGTGAAATTACGTGAGAAGAAAGATAGATACAAATGATATACATAACCCTATTCCATGTAAATTTCAACCTGCAATTCCGGCCCACTCACAATGGAGTGAGAGTCACTCAAATACTAATCTTAACGGGGTGAGTTGCAATGCCAGGTCTAACAGTGAGACCCTTACATTGAGGTTTGTGCCTGCACAAGGCCAAGTGGTACTTAAATACAAATGAGCTCATTTCTTTGCGAGTAAATCTCAATGCCAGGTCTAAGTGAGACCCTTATATTGAGGTTTGTGCCTGCACAAGGCCAAGTGGTACCTAAATACAAATGAGCTCATTTCTTTGTGAGTAAATCCGGCAAGTCCACCTAGTCCGATGGTAGGGCGCAAGAGCATCTACCTGCCGCAACTATATAGAATTTCCACATCAAGTAACAATTTCCAAACGATGTATGGGCTAAATAGAACTACATTTATGTGGCAACCCTATGAAAAGTACCACACACAATACTTAAAACAAAGGCAAAAGGTTGAAATATAAGTCTACATTACTAGCAACTCGCAAGGTCCGTGGCCTTGTGCTTTGCTATAGTCTAGATTTATCGGCATAATATGCAAATTTATCACATTCAGGCAGAAGCAGTGCCCACATGCTTCGAGATAGTCTGCTGCAGCTCGTCTTTCTTCGCTCCGACCACCTTGTCCACGATCTTCCCTTCCTTCAGGAACATGAACGTTGGCATTGCCTCTACCGCCCAGTCCTGCGCGACCGTCTGCAAAGAAATTCCCTTGCGTTTGAGTTTCTCTTACAGCGTGCAATGTTAACTGATTCCGAAAGAAATTACGTTTTGAAACAGATGACGGTATTACCTTCAGTTCATCGACGTCAACCTTCACGAAGATGACATTCGGCAGCTTCTTAGCCAACTCCGCCAAGAATGGTGCGATGAAGCGGCATGGTCCGCACCATGAAGCAGTGAAATCAACAACCATCTGCAGTTTTTATTGAAGAGCTCTCGGAACATAAGAAGCGAAATAAAACATGTTCATGTAACCCTTCAAATGACTAGCATATGTGTAATCATGGAACCAGTATTGTTATTGTTTTAAATATGAAAGGAAACCATTGATAGTACGTACGTAGGGTCGAAACGAACAAAAATTCCACTTTACTTATGTGTATGACATGCATCGAAGCAATGAATGGTTAGATATGCAGTCAAGAATCCAACTATCAAGGACCCCGGTGCATAATAGAGAATATGTCAAACAAAAACAAACAAGAGGGTTTTGTAGCAACACTTGGCAAAGAGTAAACAACTGTAAGCATTTCCGTGCAGTTCCAATACCCTTTTAAATGCAGATGGCGATTTACTACAATGACGGAAAGTGATGCATCCGGTGGAATTTAATCCTCACCGATTCCCTCTATTCTAACAGCTAAAAATTTAACTCACTAAACGCTATTGTTTATAAAAAGAAACTCTTTTAACGGGGATAAATAAGTCCTTTTCAACCTAGAATTTAGATGCAAAATATAACAAATGAAATAAACGTGGTGGGTAGGAAAATATTGTTTTGTACTATTTATCTGGAATGTTATTTTAACATGCAAGAATGAACATATTATGCCCCAACACGATAAGAAGCAAACAGAAAATTTCTGGCTCTAATTTTCCAAAACCAATTACAAAAGAAAAACAAATACGATTGAATTAGCGTTTCAAATCTTTACTATTTGAACATAAATCTGAATTTATTTTGGACAAACGATAGAATAAGTATACTAAATTTATCTAAATTAGCAGGGGTTCAAACTTAGGTGTAGATCTTGGATGGGATCTAGATTAACAAAGTGAATTAATCAAATCAGATAAGAAAAAACCACACGAACCCCAATATTCAGATTCATAACAAAAAAAACCCAAATCACAAAAAAAAAAACCAGCAAACCAAATCGAAATTAAAAAAAAAAAACAAAATTTACAAAAAAAAAAAAAAAAAAAAAAGAAGAAATTTTAAAAGATCATATATACCAGCTTCTTGGAGTCGTTGGCCTTCTGGAGCTGCTGCTCCCATGCCTCCACAGTGTGGCAGCTGAAAACTTGTCCCTCCTCTGTCGCCATTTCTCGCTCTGTAAATTTTTCTCAAGAAACAAACAGAAAAATACACCTAAAAAATTATAAGCGTGCTTCCGATTTTTTTCTGTTGGTTTCGGACCCTCTCTCACTGCCTTAAAATAAGCAAAGCTGTAGTTGTTTGTCACTTTAAATTCGACCTTCATGTTCTTTATATTCACGATTTTGCCATGGGAGATAAGAACTGTCTGGAAAAGAAGTTTCCCATGCACCCAACGTAGCGAATGCGTTACGCGTGCAGCTGTTTGGTGGGTCTTTATTCCCAACCGTTGGATCAGAAGAACTTGACCTTAATTTTCTTTTTTTTTTAATAATCAAGAGCATCATATCCATTGGTTTATACTTTTTTCGGCCTATCAATGGCGGCAACCGTATTCGAAGTTAGTATCACTACATCAATAACTAGTTGATATTATAATAAATAAACCAAGAAAACGATTTTTGCATTTGTGGTTGAGTGTTCTCAGGGTTAGCTCTAGTAATGACGGAATGTGATATGCTGAGATTAAAATTGAATCTCTTAAATATTGCAAAGTAATAGAAGTGGATTATGTCGCATCATCAGATTTTGTCGTAATTATTAGTATTAATCCATATTATTTATGGTCCATAAATTCCACATCTTACCAAACATGATTACGTATAAAATATTATCACATATCTGTAATGGAATTTACATCTTGTTTGGTAATTATAAAATAATAATTCCGTTACACCCTTATTATTCGAACACCGGTTAGTCTAACAACTTTTTTAGCACATGCAAATGTTAATTAAGCCAGTTAGTTGGCGCAGTATGTCCGTTCTTTGCACCCAAGTTTAAATCTCGTTCTCCGTAAGCTAGAGTCACACGACCAGGAAAAAAAAACACACACAACAAAATTAGTACATTTGATTCTTGGAACGCATGCCTTCTTAAGAGGAAACAGACACTCAGAAATCACAGGGAAAACATGTTTTTAAAGTGTCGAAAGTAGCTGGCAATTGCCTCTGTTCTATACATTTGAATCACACGTCTCTGAAACCAAAGTTTACGTACGAAGACTCCAAATAACAGAATCTACAATTGGATCAAACTCTTGAAACAGTACGTACCAAGAAGAAACCAACCGACGAGAAAGGCGGTGAAGAAACCCAGGTACGTTAGGAAGGTTGAACCTGCTAATGCAACTCCGAGACAGAATATTAAAAACGGTAGTAAGGATTGCACCACGGCTGCTGTGCTCACCCATTGACCCTTGAGGAAGATCAGAGCTGCAAGGTTCACCACATTCCACCCACCAGACCGAAACCCTAACCTGTTTAGGTTGTTGGCTACAAAGGAGTGGCAATTGCAGGTAAAAAGGTTGTAAGCTCGGTGTTGGAATTCCTGAGTGCCCTTCTGGAGTGCATCATCCCATGTCTTTATGTCTCTACCGGGTTCATTCTCCCCATATTGATCCTCACTTTGGTACTCAGACAGATCGGTAATAGCGCAACACTGCTTGTCAAAATTTTAATGAGCATAAATGAAACAGGAACGAGAAGGTGATACGAATTCAGATACGAAGAGTGCATATACCTTTTCTTTGTTTATTTGGATGTAGCGAGTTGCTGCTCCAAAAGAAAAGTTATCCACACAGACGAAATTGGGCCCTGCAAAGTCCAATATCACGCCATCTTCTCTGCATATGCCAATGTGGCCAACGAAAGGAACCAACCATGAAATAACAGGAAGGGGTGTCCACACAATGCAGCATGGGAACCGGGATCTTTTGGGGTCAATTTGCAAAGTCGGTGAATCACTTCCATCAATCCTCAAGTTGTGCTCGGGGCCTGCACTTGTTTCCATTGCCAAAATTGGAAGCTGCTGCATTGCCTCAAAAACATTAGACACTTCCCACTTGTCAAATAAGAAACTAGTTTATCTTAAATCTCACATCCGAACTGGAAAGGCACCGCCAAAATTAATGGCATCAACTCTTACACAAAGAATTTTCAAATCATGTTGCATACAAGATAAAACGGAATGCTTTCTGAACATCTTATGACCAAACATTCTTCAAGTCATACACCACTGCAAGGAATCCCATAAATCTCTCACCCAGATAAAGTCTAAGGCATCTGATGGAAAACATTTTGGCACGAAAACAATCTGCTCCGATGCATGCTCCATGGACTCGTGAATCACAGTGTAACAAGCAGCATGGTTCAGCAGGTCATCAACCAAATTGTAACAAAAAAATTAGGTGGCACAACAAGCTCTAATTAAACAACACAACAACATATTATCAATGAATCACAAACAAAAACGATTGTCCATTATCGAAGTGTGGTTGTCTAGTATTTCTCCCATCTAAAATGGTATGCAGTCGAAATAGCTCCTGCATCCAACTCCTCTTCACCATAACAAACTTGTCCCAAAAAAAATACAGGGAAGAACAAAGTTTGGAAGCTACCCCAAATTCAAGTATGTGTCACACCCTAGAAATTTCCCAGTAGAACTAAAATTCAGGATTTGGGAACCAATATACAAATTGTTCAGCTTCATCTTTACCATACTAAAGAGGACCAATTCTGCGGTACTGAGCGTAAAAAAGTTGGTTAGTGCAGTGTACTCCGCATTTTCAATTCAATTTCGAATCCCACAGTTCAAATTAAATTAGAACATCGCTCGAATTAAAAAAAAGTGACCAACTTCCGTATCAATTAGGAACTCTAATTAAACATGTTTAATCACCATTTCTAGCTAATTGAAACCATTAGAAAGGCTTGGAAGCACCAGAACAACTGCCTACGTGTTTTGCTTTTACCTAAATCAGATACGGAACCCTAAGAGAAACCGACGGGAAATGTTAAAGCGGTTGAAGAACCGCGGCTAAATGTAAGAGTAGTAACACGAACACAAACCGTGGAGACAGAGGAAGAGGAGCGGAGGGAGTACCTTTGGATGGGCGGCAATGGAGAAAATGAGCGCAGCACCGCCGGCGATTGTTGGGGGAGATATCAAAGCAGGGCGGAGGCGTACAACTTGGGTGAAGGGAGAGTTGGGATCTGCGTGTTTCTGCAAACTTTTCTTTTTAGGATTATTTTTTAATTTATGAATTTTGATAATTATTTCGTTTTTAATTTTTTTTATTATAAATTATTAAGAATTTGTTAGATAACCATTTTTATTGTTGCAAATATGGATGACATTATTTGGTTTGAAGGCGTGGGACAAAGTCAAAGAAAATGACTCGGTGGAGAGACACACAATTCAAGAATTTCTATCAAATCCTCCTAATTAGCGTATCTTAGAATTCCTATATAATGGTCAATAATAGCTCAAAAATGTTACACAACACAAGCAAAAGAAAGAAGAAGATACACTATAAAGAGCCATAACTGCTCTCAATCGTTTGAATTCTTCTATTGTTTCCATTACCTATGTAATTCAGTTTGATGATGTGAGAGATTACTGCTATTATCATAAGGGTGTAGGCATACTTACTAAACCTCATAAATATTAGGTCTTATTTACTTTATTTTCATTGCACACGTATCGTCGATTTCACAACATTTTTAATTTTCTAACTGAATTGAAAAGCTAGACTTTATTTTTATTATTTTTCAAATTTTGGTTTTCCATTTTTCAGTTTTTAGTTAAAACAAAATGGTTATCAAATGACCATTTAATAATAAAAATTAAGGGAAAGTAAACGGGAATATTTTGTTAAAACTCTTTTAAAATTAAGAAAAACTAATGAAAATGATTTGAAAACTTTGAGTTTTAATGATAAGTACAAAATAAAGGGTAAAGTAAATAGTATCAAATTTGATATTTTAATATAAAAATATGATTTTTGTTAAAATAGGTTTTTCGTTAAATCTCGCTTAAAATGATTAGGGTTCTCTCTCTTTGTACGAGAAAGTCTTCAGTATTGTCCCTTTCAACGGCAGACAAAAATTTGCAGGCCGAAACAACGGGAGTGAAACAGACTGAGAGCGAGTCTTCGGAATGGCGCCTAAAAGGGAGAAGGACGCCACTACCGTGGTGGAGCTCGACAGCGACGACGAGAACGGCGCCGGCGCCGGACCACAAAATCAGACAAACAAAGCACCGCCGCAGACGACATCCCAACCTCCGCAACAGCCCGCGATCCCCAACAATCAAACCCTAGAATCTCGTAGTTTCTGGCGAGCCGGCGATTATGCAGTGGGTCCCACCAGCAGGGCCTCCATTGCACAGGGGCAGCTTGAGCACGCCCGAGTCCATCCCAAGTTTCTTCACTCCAATGCTACTTCGCACAAATGGGCTTTTGGCGGTAAAAGCTCTTTGCATGTTTTGGGAGTTAGGGTTTTTTTTTTTCTTCCTGATTTTCAAAATTCTCTCATTTAATTTTATACGTTTTGCAGCCATTGCTGAGCTCTTGGATAATGCTGTTGATGAGGTAAATTTCAGAATATGAGTGCACCAAAAAATGAAGAAAATTACACTGAATTTATGTTTAATTTGTTTACTTTTTCTACATTAATTCAGGTACAAAATGGTGCAACTTTCGTGAGTGTCGATAAAATCGACATTGTGAAAGATAACTCTCCAGCCTTACTTTTCCAAGGTGTGGTTTCAGTGTGTTTAGCAATCACTATTTTTTGGAATGATATGTGATTTCATGAAAAGAAGATAAAAATTGGAAATGGTTGTGATGCTTTCTGTGCAGATGATGGCGGTGGAATGGATCCCGAAGGTATGCGCAAATGCATGAGCTTGGGGTATTCTACAAAGAAGGCAAACACGACCATTGGGCAATGTAATTATAACCATCTTCTTGTTTTATTTTCTGTTGGCTTAATTCGTTGGTATATCATTTGCATAATTATGCGGGTCTGTATGTTTATTTTCAAACATGTCATCTTCTTGTTGAATTTTTGTTCAACGAGTTGCTTATGGATAGTTTTTAGAATTTGTTTTTCTTCTGCTAAAGAAAAAGTTTTCATGTGTAAAACATGATTTAGCATGGCATTTTATGTCAGTTCAGGGTTATAGTTATTTCATTTGTTGTGGCTCAGTGTATATATTGAGCGGTCGAATGCTCATTGAAATTTTTGTATGTCTGCACTTGTAGCTCACTGTATGATACATGCTGAGTTTTGTAGTTTTCTGTGTCAGTGAAATCCTAGATCTTTGCATGTTTTTGTTCATCTTGACATCTGACAAATGTGTACCTTTTCAGATGGTAATGGATTCAAGACAAGCACTATGCGGCTAGGTGCTGATGTAATTGTTTTCAGTCGTGCAATTCGTGCAGGGTATGTTTTATTTATTTTTCTTTTTAGTTTGTTTTCCTCTTCAAACTAGTTTAGTCGATCAACTCCCCACCTCTGTACCACCTTTTTTTTCCACTACAGCCACAAACATTTGCAACCAGATTAACACATCCAGCCTTCTGAAACTAAAGATTACATCTTGAAGCTATGATTTAAACTTGATGGTTGTGAATGTCTCTAGCTTGGGCTTACATGTTTTTACCGAAAATGTTCATTGATTGGTATATGTGGCTATGTGATTTCATTTGGACTAGTATTCTTAGTTCCTCTGTTTTCCTTGAATATTTTATCCTTGACATAAATCAATTCAATGTTTATGACTTGCTCTGCCCTAATACCTGTCTTTTAGAAAAGCTACCCAGAGTGTTGGTCTTTTATCTTACACGTTCCTACGGAGAACTGGGCAGGATGACGTTATTGTTCCAATGGTACTGTTTGGCTCTTTAACATTAAGCTTCCCTTTTCCTCCTTGAGAGTTTGCAAGTGACTCACATTTCACACTTTGTTTTGATTTCAATTGTAGGTTGATTATGACATCTCTGGAAATTGGGTGGAACCAATCATTTATGGCTCACAGGATGACTGGACTTCTAATTTGAAAACAATCTTAGAATGGTCTCCCTTTGCATCAAAGGACGATCTCATGCGACAGGTGTTTTGGATGGTTCTTCTTACAGAAATACTATACAGTAGTTTTTTATTTTTTGAATACTTCCATTGTTGTACAGAAGTAAAATCCTGTAATCTTGTGGTATCGTCACCAGCAATAAGTTCAGTAACATAAAGTTATTTCAGTTGAAACAATGGTTGTAAATTGGCGGCATCTGCTTTTAGATAGTAGTCACGTAGTTGGAAGGGGTTTTGTGGATATTTTGCAGACTATTATGTAGGAGATTGAAAAATCTGTAATACATGATTTAAATTTCATGTTAAAAAAGAAAGAAGAATCACATTCTCTACCAGTCTATACAAGTAAAGGAAAGATTGTTCAAAAAGACAACCTCTATTGTTGTTTAGATATATTTTATTATGTCTTTCATGCATAATTGGCTCTCTCCCATAGCTTTCAGTCATCATGTTTCCTTTAGCTATTAGAACAACAAAGATTGTATAGTGGTATGTGGATACGAGCAATCCCATTGTGGTGTATTGTGGGCACAAAGTTATGCTCACTTTTCCCTTACTTTGATGTTTGTTGAGGACTGCGTGTTAAAATCTTAAGATTAATAAGCCCACCCTATTAGTATGTTGATTAATTCTATTCAACACGCCATGATGCCTTTTGCTCTGGCATTTGTACAACGCGTTCTAGGATTCATATAGCCGACCCCGTTTAGTGGGAAAAGGCTTTGTTGTTGTTGTTGGTGTCTGCATACTTTGTTCCCTGACTAGCTTTCTTGAATAATTATATTTTGCAGTTTGAGGAAATCGGATCGCATGGAACAAGAATACTTATATACAATTTGTGGCTAAATGATGAAGGAATATATGAGCTGAGTTTTGATGATGATGATGAGGTATGTCAAACTTATTAGGCTGTACGTAAATTATAAAATCTCTCTTAAGTCCATGTTTTAGGCACATATTTTCAGCTGTCCTCTTTTATGTGATATGCTAAATGTTTGCATCTACAAGTATGAGACACAGCCATGCTTTAGTGTCCCAAATCAGCTTCTTAAGTCAACTCAGCTGAACTCTGCCCTAATAACCACTAATTGGCTATAGTGCTCTTCTTTCATCATTTACGAAGATGAGTCTTAACTTTTTCTAAATAATGATGAACAAAAATTCTTCTCTATGATATTGTATATAAGTAATAAGTTGTCATTAGTTTCCTGTATATTTAGTTTATTACTTGCTGTTGTGCACTATCGAACCACGTTCTTAAACAGCAGTGCACACGGTTTTTTGTCACATTAAGCCGGCAAAACTTGCCAACTGAGTTTGTTGGTATATCATATTGTTTTGATTTTAAAAAGTGATATGTTGGTTTGTATTTTACACTTTTAGTATATTAATGTTAACATTGTATTCCATGTGCCTTTAGTTTTTACTTTTAAAGGTTGGCGGGAGTAAGCATATACATTGATATAAAATCCCTGACATGGATTTGAAGGATTTATCGTTTTTCATTTTACTCAATGTTGTTGCATGTGCACCAATGAATACATTAGAGAGGATCCTGATTTTGTTAGTATTTGTGGTTCTTTTTTATGTTTGATGTAGGATATACGGTTGAGAGAAGAAGCTACCCGTGTAACTTCAGTTGTAGCACAAAGGAAAATCAACGATCTACAATCACATATATCTTACCGTATCCGCTTTTCATTGAGGGTAACTTATCTAAATTTTACGTATGTTTTTTTTTTCAGCAACATTTGTTTTACTATGACGATTCTATTTTTCAGCAACAGTTGTTTTACTATGACGATTCTTATTCAGTCATATTCTTATGATCAGGCTTATGCTTCCATTCTGTACCTCAGAAGATTTACAGACTTCAAGATTATACTGAGGGGAAAACCTGTACAGCAATATGATATTAAAGATGACTTGAAATATGTAGACATTGTACCGTACAAGCCTCAGCTGGCTATATTGAAAGAGGTAAGTTATCTTTCCTTTTTCCCTGCAACATTCTTGAGCTATGGAAGTTTTGTAGTTCTGAAATGAAAAATAATCCAAATACCTGGTTTCCTGCTTAAGGTTACAGTGGAAACAACCATTGGATTCATTAAAGAGGCACCTGCACTTCCAGTTAGTGGCTTCAATGTGTACCACAAGAATCGCCT